ATTGTATCAACTATATAAATACTACATGCTGATAAATTATTGCTTTATACAGGTAGAAATGTGTAGTGGGATAAATCTACCTACATTTTATGTTTTACGAACTTTGTTTTGCTTTCTTGGTTTTTATTTTCCTGTCTTCCTGTCCTGTCTGTCTCTGATCTTCCTGCATCTCCCAGTCCTCCAGAAAAACTCCTGCCTGCTTCCTTCTTTTTCACCTCATGAGTAACTTTTTAACTAGCAGATTAACTTGATCTATTGACCGCAAAAAAAGCGGAGTGTGCACTGCGCTGCCCGGCTGCGCAAGTGACGAGCCTTGCAGCGGGGGCAGCGCGAGCGCGTCCACACGTCATGCTCAAATACAGACAGAACTTACCAGAGAGACAATGAACGGACACGAACTACTGTGTGTTAATTGTATATTTTTGGTGACGCCACTTAGAAACTTAGAAAATGTTACTGTGGCCGTGTGCAGAACGCAGCTGGAGTTCATGAATAATCAGCGGTCTGCCTGCCGCTCTGCTCAAAAGGATCCCCGCTACGCTCAGTTCATATAAATAATATAATACAATATAATATAATATAATATAATATAATATAATATAATATAGGTAGAAACTGGATCTTTTTGTGCTCCTTCTGGGTGTGTAAGTTAAGGGCATCAGGGGAGCCTGACAACCTTTAAGGAGAACCAAGTTGCTCTCCTGTAATTTGAACCCAGTATCCGAGTCCGGATCATCGGGAAGTAAAGCCCGAGTCCCGATCAGTCTGAAACCACGCGATCGGGGCCGATTTCCGATCATGTGATCGGATCGGAACATCCCTAATTTCTACAGTTTGTCTATATCTCTAGGCTAGAACTCACCAACAAGGTGAGGAAGAAATGTAATTATTTGAACAACAAAGTATTAAGTAACAACCAATTCTGCATTACATCCTCTGTTTTCAACAGATCTGCCTGCAAAGATCATTTTGTTGATGCATTCTAGAAATTAAGTTAGCTTTGCTAATTCATAGCTACTCATTTGAGTCAAACTTTGCATTAGACAATGGCCTTCTGCATTAGTTCAGACATGTTTGCTGTGTTGTGACAGAAGCAATTCATCCCAACAATAATAAAAAAAAAAACAAGTTTTTTTTAACCACATTACCATTTCAGAGCCGCTGACCCCGGCCACCGCTGCTTTGAACATTACAGAAACATGCCTCCACTTTCTTCATAATAATTCATTTCTCTAGCTAGTCTTTGCCATATCTGCCTTTTGCAATACTTTTAGCATGAGAGACTTCTGGCAAACTCCGACATGCCACGCATCATTTTTGATCACAGGCCACAGAGAAAAGAAGACCAGTCGCACGGCAAACGCAGAGATGAAAGGTTTTTTTTTAACAGTCGTGAAATAGTTGAAGAACTCTTTGGGAGTAGTCGCTCGACTCCTGACTAACCAACCAACTGGCCTTAGTTGGTGTCTTATTGGCCCTAGGCAATCACCCTGCTGCTATAAACAAAAAAAAAGGAGAACCGAGCCACGTGTGCTGCATTATTCACGGGGAGAAAAAACAGCGAGGTGAGGAAAAGTGTCAGAAAGACAGAAATATGGAAAAAAATAGATACAAAAGTAAATAAAAGCAAAATCAATTGGAGTGTGGGAGCACGAGACAGAATTCTACGTTTTTTAAAGGTAAGTGAACATTACTTCCTCATCCTCTCTTTGCCCTTAATTATCCATTTTGCCTTTGTGCAGCAGTGGCTCAGCGCCGACATCCCTTCTCCCCAGAGATTCACCCGCTCCCAGCCAGAACATTGAGGAATATCAGGGGACATTACACCCAAGAATTAACGCTCCAAATCACCTTGCAAGATTTAGGTCCCGCGCCGACCCCTCCCTCTCTCTTAGACAAGATAATCCCGGGCTCTAGCACCGGATATGTGCCGCTAATCATCAAAAAAAGGTAAAAGGAGGTGAGTGTGGGGAAGGGAAATAAAATAAAAACTTGGGAGGAAGTGAGAAAAGAGGAGAAAAACTGTTTACATCATGTTTATTTGACAAGAAACGGGATGCAAAAGTTGAAATATTCACTGAGATATTTTAGACAACTTGTTATTCTGGGCTTCTGGTCTTCCTAAGAGGATTTCAGGTCTACAACTTTTACAAAACTCAGCAGCACGTGTCCTGATGAAGACCAGAAACGGGAGCACATCACTCCAGTTTTAGAATCACTGCATTGGCACCCCGTATGTTTCAGGATCGATTTTAAAATACTTCTAACGGTTTTTACGTGTCTTAACGGTCTTGGGCCTTCTTCCCTTTCAGAAATGCTTATACCGTATGAACCCACGCGGTTTCTGCGCTCCTCTGGCAGCCGTCTCCTTGTCATCCCTAAAGTCAGGACTCATATTCACGGCAAGGTGTCCTTCCGGTACCATGGTCCTCGCCGAGGGAACGAGCTGCCAGGGGGCCTCAGGGCCGCAGAGAACGTTCATGTTTTTAGAAACAGGCTCAAGACCCATCTTTTTAGTTTAGCTTTTAACTGATTACTCTCACTTTTTAAATTAATAAATTAATTAATTAGGTTATTTATCTATTTATTTATTTACATTATGTATTTTTTTATACGCGCTATTTTTAAACAGTTTTTTATCATATATTTGTGTGTGTGTGTGTGTGTGTGTGTGTGTGTGTGTGTGTGTGTGTGTGCCGGAGGATGAGCGTTGTGAAGGGGTTTTTATTGTCAGACTGTTTTTAAAATTCTGGGGATGGCAACACAAGAAGCTACATATCACTCTAACCAAGTCTCATAGGAATGAATATAAAAAGCAGAATATTGAGCCAATAACAGACTCCTGTTTTTGATCTTTTTGAACTATCTGTACTTAAAACTAGAAACACGTTCAATTTGATTGACCGTCAGAAGGTGGGAAAGTGCCCCGCTCCCACCCAGCCCCCTGATTGGTTGAGAGATGTCAATCATCTTCTGGCTAAATGGAATTACATGTGAGACATCAAATCGATCGGCTAGACCTAAGGAATCCATCCATCCATCCATCCATCCATCCAACCAAACAACCAACCAGCTCTATACACTTAAAACTAGCAGCATAGCATTTTAACACTAGTCAGACGGCAGGAACCACCCCCTCCTCCTTCGCTGCTCTCTCATTGGCTGAGAGTTTTCAATCGTCTTCTGACTAAAAGGAAATGTGCACCCACACATATGGTACATCAATTCAACCTGCTTGGTCCCAGGAGTCTTGTATTAACTTGATATTGCGTTCTGCGTTACCATGGCAACGTGCTTAGCAACAACATTTAACAACATTTTAGACACAACTGTATCAACATACTTTAATATAGAATTGTTATTCAAAGTTTAAATAAGTCATGTGTTATTGTACATAGCTTTATTAATGCAGACTCCTGTCATCTGTTACCATGGCAACACAAGGAACTACAAATCACTTTAACCAAGTCTCATAGGAATGAATATATAAAGCAGAATATTGAGCCATTAACAGACTCCTGTTTTTGATCTTTTTGAACTGTTTGTACTTAAAACTAGAAATAAGTTCAATCTGATTGACCGTCAGAAGGTGGGAAAGTGCCCCGCTCCCTCCCAGCTCCCTGATTGGTTGAGAGTGGTCAATCATCTTCTGACTAAATGGAATTACACACCCACACATGTGAGACATCAAATTGATCAGCTTGGCCTGAGGAATCCATCCATCTACATATAAATCCGTACATGCTTCTATCTATCTATCCATCCATCCATCCATCCATCCAATAAACCATCTAACATCCATCCAACAATCCATCTGTTATTTCATTCATCCAACCATTCATCCATCCCATATCAAATCTGAACATATGTTAATCTATCAGTTTTAGATATCAGCAAATATTTCTAAATTCTCAGTCCAGCCAATTGTAAAAATGTACCCGTTAAACTATTCTCATTCAAATGCCAGCTGTTTAACGTTTCAAAGTTTGAGTTTTTAGTCAATGTTCAAAGATTAAAGTTTTCTGCAGTTTAGCATTTTTATCCATTCTTCACCTATATTCTGAGCTTTATTACACTTGTTGGTGATTTTTGCTTCTAAATCTTTAAATTCATTCAGCTCATTTTGACAGTTTAGCTTAGTTTCAGCTTCACTTCAGCTATTCAGCAGCTTCAGCAATCCGTTTCTGAATTCAGCTTATGCTACTTATTTCACAGTTCAACTAAATGTAAAGATTAAACTGTTAAACTAGTCCTACTCAAACAACAAGTGTTTAGACATTTTTGCTGTCCAGATTTTTAAATAATGTTCAGATTTCAGTTTTCTGCTGTTTAGGATTGTTTTCTCCGTTCTTCACTTTTTGTGCTTTATTTACATTTTGGTGCTTTTTGCTTCTAAATCTGTCAAAATGTTCAGCTCATTTTAACAGTTTTGCTTAGTTTCAGCTTCAGCAAATAGTTTCTGAATTCAGCGTATGATGCTAATTTCACAGTTCAGCTAAATGTAAAAATTAAACTGTTAAACTAGTCCTACTGAAATAACAGGTGTTTAGACATTTTAGCTTTTAAACAGTGTTCAGAGATTTTGAGTTTTCTGCTATTTAGGATTCGTTTTCTTGATTCTTCACTTACTTTGTGTGCTTTTTTTGCTTGTTGGTGCTTTTTGCTTCTACATCTTTCAAGACATTCAGCTCATTTTGACAGTTTTGCTTAATTTCAGCTTCAGTTCAGCTGTTCAGCAGCTTCAGCTTACAGTTTCAGCTATCCAGCATTCAAACAGCATTTGTGCAATAAATGCAATTTTTCTAGTTAATTTTCTCTTTTCCTTTTCTCACATTTTTTCTCACAATTTTCTTTATTATTTTAATTATATTAAAAAATAATAATTTTTATTTTTTATTATTTAAAATGTGGGTTCATGTGGAGCACCTCTCGTTTTTTATCCCGAGAGGCGCTTTATTAAAGATCTTTTCTTCTCCTTTATGCATTTACTGATCATTTACCTGCTCCTGTGCCTCCTGTTTCTCTCTGTCCGCCCTGATTTTCTCATCAACAGTTTCCTGAAGCCTCCTTTGGTACTCCACCATGTCCTTTTCCAGCTTTTCTGCTAATGATCTGCATCAAAAAGAAGCAGAACACCAATAAAACAGATCCATAAAGATATCCAAAACATTCATCTTTACACTAATATTAACTTCACATGAGTTCAGTCTGATCCTAAAAAACGTCACGCAGCATTGTCACTGGACCATGAAGTGTTCAAATAGACCCATGAACGTGTGTGTGTGTGTGTGTGTGTGTGTGTGTGTGTGTATGTGCCTGTGCATGTGGCAGTTCAGCTAAGGGAATGTGAAGGAGATCAATATGGAGGGGTCTATTTCTACAACGCCACTGTGTGCGTCTGCAGGGCTGCGAGTTGGTTGGTGTCTGCTAGCGCGCTCGAGGATGTGCACGAGTGAGTTTGCGTGTGCCGACTGCCCCGGCTACAGCCGAATCAATACAACAAATGATTACCATTTCCACAAACCTCTCCTCACAGCCTCGCTTCGGCCACTCTTGAGCCTAAACACCCCCCACCACCACCACGTCTACACACTCAGAAACCCAAACAACACGTCAACACTTTTCCTCTTGCTGACCCTCCTACAAAAGTGAGAAGTTTAAAGATGGTAAAATTTAGGGCTGCTTTAGGGCAGAGGTCTGAGGTATTCAACAAGGATTTTACTGACTCGTTAGATGCAAAGCCAGATATTTCAGCCTTTGTTATAATTGTGATGATTATGGCGTACAGCTAATGAAAAACGCTACTTTCAAAATCTCAGACAACTGGAATATTGTAAAAAGGCTCAATAGGCTCCAAAACAGCTAGAAAGGGTTCCTGAGCCCTTAGATGGTCTCTCAGTCTAAAGTTCAATCATTGAAGCAAACAGACCTTTACACCATCTTCTAATTTATCCAGTTTCACCTTACACCCCCAGGACTGGTCCTGATCTGTGGAGTCTTTTGAACTGGGCCAAAGAACTACAGAACAATTTAAAATATAGATATTCATCTTTTTGTTTTGTATACATCGGTCTCCGGGGTTTTTTATTAAGACAAAAATACTCTGATTATTTATATTAGAGTCAGCAATTAAAGTGGAAAAGAATAAATGCTGGTACCCCTTAAGAAACGTTGCCCACCAGGAGGGCAGGGATGGTGGAATAGAGCGGGGGAAGAACCCCTCTGACGGCCGTTAACCAGATAGAGGTACGACCCTTTTATTTAAAGCTGCTTTTACCAAAATCTTTTATTTTCTCATTTTTAAGTCAAAATTTTAATCTTTCATCTGTTTATGACATTTTATAATTTTACGACTTTATTTTTTCTGATGTTAATCTGTTTCTGTTTTGAGATCATTATGATTTTATGACTTTGTTTTATTTTGTTTTGATCTGTGTGAAGCACTTTGTGATTCTATGTCTGTGATAAGTGCTACATAAATAAAATGTACTTAATAATTTACTTTTGTTGTTCAGCAGAAAGCACAAATTTAGAAATGTTGGCTGATAAATGACCCCCCAAACACAATACCAGTACACACCAAACAGTAGAAAAAGTCCCAGTGGGATGAGAAATAATTTTAAAAGTGTCGGTGTTGCCCCAAATTCTGCGACCCATCACAATTTGTGACCCCAGGGGGCAGTGTTGCGTTTTGTTGCGTCTGTACATCCTGAATTGGCATAAAAGAAGATGCTACCTTAAAACCGTAAACTATGTAAGCTTTGAGGAAGTTGTGCGGCGCGGACCATGGATATTAAAAAGAGCGTTTGTTAATGTTTATTACAAACAAACGAGACAATAAATGCAGCGATAACCAGGGCTTTGACCAGAAATGTTTGCTAACGTTAAACATTGATTTTACAACATGCGAGGTCCGCAGGTAAAATGTTCAGAACTTCCATTTATTGAAATAAATTGTTGTGATCTACATCCTCAGTTTATTAGAAACCACTGCAGATTATCTGGTTGCTACGTTTTTTTTTTCCTGTCACTCCAATGCCACTCATATGTACTGGTGGAGATAAAAGGGAAATAAAATGACACAAACATCACGAAACGTCTTTTGTTGTTATTAGCTTTAGTGAAAATTAAAGTCATCTGCATTATTACTGAAATGCAGATGGTCACATTCTGTGATAGCCACTATCATATTGTAGGACCTTACTGTAACTTCAGTTATAATGATTTTTACATCACACAAACTGTTTCTGGTAACTTCTCTGATTATGTAGTTTATAAAAAAAAGTGCATTTGACCTCTGACATCTGCATTATTACTGAGATGCAGATGCCACCATCGTATTGTGTGACCATGGTCCTCGCCGCACAACTTCCTCAAAGCTTACGTAGTTTACGGTTTTAACATAGCATCTTCTTTTATGCCAATTCAGGATGTGCAGACGCAACAAAATGCAACACATCCCCCTGGGGTCACAAATTGTTGTGGGTCGCAGAATTTGGTGTAACACCTGTATGGTGACCGGCCCACTTAAACACTGATAGGAGTAGAAAACAATATGAATAAAATGCAGAAAACTTAAATGTGATGCATTCTTCTTTTTATTTAGCATATTTGAAGATGTTTGTTTGATAGCTGCTTTGTACAAAATCAATCTGTGGCCAAAAAATTAAAAATAAAGAAAAATAAAATAGACCTGACCGATGTACTAAACAGTGAAAAAGAGAGTTCCCTTTGGCAAAACCTTAATGTAGCATTTTAAAGGGAACAGAAATGATTATTAAGTACAACCCTAACCCTGACAGCAAATGTTCCTGCGAGTTCTGATGGAATCATGATCGAACGCAGCAGAAAAAGTGACACATAAATCATAAAATTCATATTCCAAAGAAGCGGGCCGCACACGGACAGAGCGGTCTGGCGGCAACTTTAAAATAGTTTCTAATAAAGTAGGTTTTAATAACAGAAAGAGGCGAAACACGAAGGAAAGCGAAGCGCCCGAGCGGCTGGTCCGTGGAGAGAACATGTGATAGTGTGAGGAGGGGAAGGATAGAGAGAGGAGGCATCCTGTGGAGAAAGACGGGGATTTCCCACAGCACAGATGGAAGCCATTATCATGGTGCTGTTGCTTTAAAAACCTTTCATGTCTTTGCAGTTATTAGATAATACTGGGTTAACAGTAAACAGCACGGTGCTGCAAACGGATCTAATATCCAGACATTGTTTCACCATCGCCGTACCCAAAATTACTTCTAATCTAATCAAAATGTAAGAATTCAGAACGCGGCCCGTCATGTCTCCGGACTGAGTTGACGATGAAAATGTTCCATGATCGCTCGGCTGAGAAACTCCCCGAGACGGTTGCGGCGAGGTCATGCTGAAGCCACGACCACAGCTATGTGTGCACAAACAGACTCAGGAAAACACACACACACACACACACACACACACACACACACACACACACACACACACACACACACACACACACACACACACACACACACACACACACTATTCTGGGTTAAACAGGCATGCTGATGTCATCGCCACGGAGCTGGTAGCCCACAGGGGTCAACTGGGGGGCCTTGCCTTTGAACTCCACCTCCTAACATCTTGTTTTCTCACCTTTTTAACATGTTTTTAAAATTAATCCAAAAATAATCAAGAAATAAATCAGAAATTCTATACCTGACCAAAGATTCGAGCTCGGGGCGGCTCTGTCCCACACATGTTCAGTTGAGAGGCCTACTGTACGCCACACGTAAAACATCTAAATGTTATTGACTAACACACACACACACACACACACACACACACACACACACACACACACACACACACACACACACACACACACACACACACACACACACACACACACACACACACACACACACACACACACAGGGGAGTACGGAAAAAGCAAATAAAGGTAGCTGGAGAGGATGCCTCTCTTCCTCCTCTTTCCTTGCTTACCGTATTTTCTCCTCTGATAGCTTTCCCTCCTTCAGGTGCCCCTCCATCCGCCTCGCCTCGTCTGCACGTGCTGCCAACTCCTCCACTGAGCAGGAGACGACAGGAGAGGATGACAGACAAGAGGAGGAAAAAGTGAAAGTGCAACAGTTCACCAACATGTTGGTTGAAATTCACTTCACCTGGGCTAATTTAGAGCCAAAGCGGGGGTGATCAATAGGGAAGCCATGTTGTTTTATTCATTCAAATAAACAAATATGATGTTTTTGCAGGGAAATTTATTTATTTATTTTTTTCAAAATGCACATATGAAGTTAACTGGATTTTTTTCAGGTTTCTAACTGGAAAACCGAAACAGAAAAGAAGGAGGTTCCTGGATATGTGTTGCAGGAGCAGAAAAAGGAAGGAATGAAAGCACTGGTTTATCCCGGCTGCCCTTGTGTTGAAACAAAAGGAGAAGCGCTTCCTGTTTTGGTCAATAGATGGCAGTCTTTACCTTAATCACTCTCTGAGCTCACCCTGCAGAGCCTTCATGTTGCCTTTCAAGCGGTCTCCCATATCTACATGTAATAAAACCCCTTTGTCCTACACTTAGTGGTTTAGCACACTGAGTGGGTGCATAATAAACCACTCGGCAGGTTTGCTCGTTAGGCCCTTTTCCATTTTGAATATGAATTTTAGGATTTGCCACCTTCCTCTGCTTCTGTTCTCTGCGGTGTTTTGTGAGTCAATGTTTCCCATCGCTCCTGAAACCTTTCCACTAAATCCAGAATTCATTGAATATAACATAAACTGTCAGTCGGCGGTGGTCAAGGCTAGTGAATATTGAGAGGGTGTGCGCACAGAATATGAAGAATGTGTCAGTGTGTGTGTGTGTGGTGTGTGTGTGTGTGTGTGTGTGTGTGTGTGTGTGTGTGTGTGTGTGTGTGTGTGTTGAATATTTACAGGGTTGATTTTGCTGCATGTGTGCATTTGGCAGAGGAAAACCACAGAAATAAGAGAAAATGTTAAGTTATTTTTTTGTAATGCTTTTAGGGCCGCCCGCCCCGGTCCATAACAGTGATGTGCTGCAAAAAAAAAAAAAAAAAAAGCTAAAAGCAATAAAAATAAAAGACACAATAAAGGAAATCTACATTTAATAGAACTAACAATAATTTATTGTTTTGCTGCATCCAAACTGTTTAAATCAAAGCCAGATGAAAATTGAGGCTGCATCTGGAAGTGTTAAATATTTTATGAAGAACAAACATCTTTACCTACAGTATGCATCTAAGTGTGTGTGTGTGTGTGTGTGTGTGTGTGTGTGTGTGTGTGTGTGTGTGTGTGTGTGTGTGTGTGTGTGAGTGAGAGAGGGAGAAAGAGATAACTCTACTGTGGCTATTTTATTGAACCTCGAGGTGAAAGTTTGCTGTGAATTTCAATAATCAATAAAAGCTGAGACGTGAAAACTTGAGGTGGAGATCAAATTCATTTTGGAGGCATTATTCTTCAGGTGACCTCTGTGACCCCTCCCAAAAGAGGAGGCCACAGAGAGAGCAATTAGCTGCACCAAATGACCATTTACACCAACTTTATTTGTTTGCACACAAACATGTTGCACTGATAAAAGTTGCCTGAGAATGAACTTAACGTTAACTTTGGTGGGATTAACACACCATACCAACTTCATTTATAAAGCACGTTTAAAAACGGCATGGCAGCCGACCAAAGTGCTGTACAGAATAAAAAGTAAAAACACAATATAAAACAATACACGGTCAACAGTAAAATACACAACAAGGCAGATAATCACGGTCAATAAAAAGACACAGTAAAATAATAAAAGTCAGGGATTTAAAATGCCCGGTCGCATGGACGTAATTTTCACTTTAGAAGTGGGGGGGACACGGGTGGGGGGTGGTGGTGGTGGTGGGGGGTGGATCTTTACAGTATGCTCTAATGGGAAACAGGCTTCAACACAAACGGTTGTTTTCCATTTGGTCCTAGAGCTCAACCAGTGTCAATTTAATATAGCGTAATATTGTTTTTGGATGGTAAAAAGTGCAGGGGTCAAAACTTGACTTTGGAAAAAGTGGGGGGGACATGTCCCCCCCCAAAAATTACGTCCATGCCCGGTCGTAAAACACATTAACACACATTAAAGGCTACGCTTCATTTTGGAGAGTTTTGACCAAATACTGACAATTTTCCACTTTCACTTGGGATCTGTGGAGTGTTATGCACTTTGACACTCCTGAGTGTCCTAAAGAGGAACACAAGTCCAGAATCTGCAGATGGTGTGTTTTACAACCGTGGGTTAAGTTATGACAGCAAGCCACAATCTAAGATTGTCGTCTCCCAGTCGAAGACTCTTCTTTGACCCTTTTATTCTGGCTTGACAACTTACGCTGTGATGTTAGTCCACGATCTAACGCTCTCCCTCGCTCCCGATCTCTCACTCGCTACGCCTTCACTTCAAGGCCCATCAAACAGCATCAGGCTATAATCACAGATCTGCGGTCAGATTACCCTGCTCTCGCTGCTAACCTTTAACACGAGAAGGATGAAAACCTTGCTAACCCTGAATCAGTGGTTGGGGCTGGGCTGGGCCCTGCCAGGCCCTCACAAAAGCTTCATAAGGCTTCATGGGAGCTTCCTTTGGCTTTGTTGGGGGATTCGTAGTCGGCTGAGGTGCTCCCGAGAGACGTCCCAAAGCCTCCCAAGACTCTTTCTCTCTCTTTCTGAAGTTTCATAAGCTTGCAACACTGCTTTTGGGTATAAGCCAAAAGGCGCCGGCGCACAGCCGCACACCATCGTGCACATCAATATAACCACAAGATAAAAAAAAAGAGAGTTCACTAATATGCGCAACAACATTGGCTCACAAAGACTATCACTTACACACACACACACTCAAACTCACACACACTTACACCCCAATACACTCCCCTCTTGCTCTCTCCTCTCCGCTTTATTTACAATCCTCTGGCAGCGGTACAAGGGCCTGGGGCTATAACACACGGCACCTAATGCTCAAACTGCCAGGTAATCTCATGTCTGACATCCTCCTTTGATAGAAACTGATCAATAGACTCTTGTAAAGGAGTCATTTTCTCTGATGTTTCCACCAACCACTTCTCTCTATCTCTAACTCTCTCCCGTTTTCTCCCCCCCCCCCCCCTTTCTTTTATTAGCCATACATTCATAATTCATATTTCAGCCGGGCTGTGCTAGCTGCAAGACGAGGGGAGGTGGAAGGGTACAGGTGGGGTGGGGAGGGCGCAGCTTCTTTGAGTAATAAAGAACAACAGTGGTGAAATGATGGGGAGAAATGCCAGTGTTTGCTGCTGGTTCCGGCAAACAACAGTTTTGGGGATCGATAGAGTGTGAAATGGGATTATAGCTAGTAATAGACGTGAATTGGAGGAGAGAGGCCGGCGCATTTGTGTGTCCGGGGGATCCAGGTCTGACATCAGAGCACACATATGCACACGTACGCACACACACACACACACACACACACACACACACACACACACTCACACACACACACACGTGCACACATAATGATTTCATCATCATGATGGGCAGATGCGCATCAGCAGCACAGAGAGTGCTAACGTGACCTTTTTTTTTTTTTTTTTGCAGCACACATCTGCTTAAACAAAAGTATCTCACGGGTTCAATTCTTAGGTTGGTTTTAAGCAGATGCAGACAACATGTGCGTTTGTCCGAAGTACCAAACACGCCCAGGCTCATCCCGAGAGTGAAATGTGACGGACGGCTCGTTTGACACACAGGGCCATGCATCCCATTTAAAGACTTTTTCTAATCTTTTTAATCATCCCGGTCATTTGGGTCTCTGTGGCCGACCCTGACAGAGTCTGATTGGGTCCAGCTGCCTTTAAACATTTCGGTCTCATCACTGTGGCATTTCCTGGGTTACAAATGTTGTTTTTTTTTTATTTCTATCCTTTTATTAGACCACCGAATCCTTTTAATGTGATATTTTGCCCATGTATGTCCATGTACACAGAGTTCACATCAAAAACCCACCAGGCATGTTTTATGCGTTGGTACCAGGGCCCCCACCTCCCTGGACTGAGACCTGGTGGCTGTGGAGGCCGGTAGAATCCATAGGACTCATCATGTTCAAGACGGTCTGAGCTTTGTGACGTGGTGCAAGAAAGCTTTAGAACGTGGTAAACATGGTGCTCAATTGGTCCTAAGTATTCCAGTGTAGGCCTGGAACATCTCCTTCATACTAATATACCACCATCATCAGCCTGAGGTGTTAACACAAGGCAGGGTGGAACCATGACCTCTGTTCTTATGCACTATCTGGATTTTGCAGCTCAAATCACATTAAAGGTGTTGAACACTCATTTAATAAATACAGTTGGAATGCTCTATAGTAGGAATGAATGCCTTGTAAGTTGTTCTCGGGGGGTACAAAACACTGACGCACCATTTATAGGAATTAGAAATGAGCCACATCACAGCTGAGCTTCAGATTTGGAAGATAAACTTAGTGACCAATTATAGTCAGAAAAAAATCATTTAGAGACGTTTTTTTTCAGCGTTCCACATCTTTAAAAGTGAATTCATGCACTTGGTCCTCTGCTCTAATCCTCAGTTTGAACTTCAACTCGTCTTGGCCGTGTCATGCATGGAGCTGCCGCCACGTGGCTTTCTGTTTAGATTTCTCTGTAAACAGCTGGTCAGGTGTACCTAATAAAGCGACCAATGAGTATGTAGGCGTAGCTGGTTGTGATACTGAAAGCATTTAACACATAATTGCATTTTCTACCAAATGTTTGAAACAGTGATAATCAGTCATCCTGTGATTCAAAGTAAAAATTAAAAATAAGAAATGACAGATAGTTTTTTTTATTCTTTTTTAACAATCATCTTTCTAAGCCACCAGTCTTCCCGGTCCACTTTATTCTGTAACACATCTCCCATCAATCGATGTAGTTTTCACCACTCCGCGTGTCATTTGTGTAATACAAAACAAGGACAGCACAGGTTTATGGCAATAAAAAGGCTTTTTGTTCATGGCGGTAATTCTTCAAGCTGACTCCTAACCCGGTTTATTGAGACCGCTGCTCTATCCAGGTAAACAAAGTCCCCTTTGTTACAATAATGCATATTTATTCTTCTTAAGTCATTACAATTGGCTCTTCATTGGTGGACTGTATCTGCTGAAGGTAAAAGCTGAATAATATGTGGTTTTGTGTGGAGAGTAGAGTTGAGGGAATGCGTTTTGATCACAGACAAAAGGCCAAGCTACACAGCGTTGTCCTTCTGTCTCGATCTTGTTAATGAGCACTGTTCACTGAGCAAGCCAGCCACTGTCTGCCACAGAGAAGAGACCTCAGATTCATCTCTCTGCGGACAATAGGGGATTGTGTCTGTGTACGAATGTGTGTGTGTGTGTGTGTGTGTGTGTGTGTTTGTACCTTAGAGAACCAATGTGTGTGTGTGTGCTAATTAAAGCAGTGGGAGTTGGAAGAACTGACTGTGAGCGTGCGTATGTGAGGTGTTTGCCTGCCGTGACCGTAATGTACGTTAATTCTTAATGAGACATTTCTGTGCCCAGAGAGACCCAAACATCACCATTCCTGCACTGACACACTACTACAAAGGCCACCATCGTACACACACACACACACACACACACACACACACACACACACACACACACACACACACACACACACACACACACACACACACACACACACACACACACACACACACACACACACACACACACACACACACACACACACACACACAGAGCTTTTCATTCGATGGCACACGGCTTTAGCTGTATGGCAATGATCTGGTTTATGACTCTCTCTCTCTCTCAGTGTGTGTGTGTGTGTGTGTGTGTGTGTGTGTGTGTGTGTAAGGTGCAGTGCATGCAGACAGGTAGTAACAGAATCAAGATACTGATAAAGCTAACTGCTTTGCTAACACAAAAGAGAGCCCACACTTCCTGTAAGTTCTGCATCATCAGAAAGACATTGGGCAACGTTTTCTAAAAATAAACTTTCGTAAAATGCACCTGTGTAATTGTGAGAAAATAAAAAAGTTGATATGTGATTACGTCACAAAACAAAGGCCACCTGTTACTCGGTGCTTGTTGCACAGCTCCTCCAGCGTCCGCCGCAGTCTCCGGTTCTCCGTCATGGTGCTCCTGGTCTTTTCCTCCTTGTTTCGTAACTCCTCCTGAAGTCTCTGCACCTCTCCTCTCTGCACATCCAACTCTATGCATCTTCTTTCAGACTCATACTTCATCCCCTCTAACTGCTCCTCCACCTGCCCGAGGAGCAGCAGGTGCACCTGCAGAATGAGAAAAACATCAAAAGATACAGATAATCAGGTTTATGTGGTGATTCAGGCTTGGGTTGGAGCAAGAATGCATTTTGATTCTGGTCTCAAAACGATGCTAAAACATATCTGTGATAAGTAGCTTTTAAATGTTTATTTATTTATTTTGATGCTAGGTTTGCACCTGCTTGGAAAACCTGGAAATTAAAGTTAAATTTGAGTTGTACCTAAATCCTGCTAGGATTGTTCAATGTTCTTATTTTTAAGTCAGCATTTTGGAAACGTATTGGTTAGTTCTTCAGCCCAGATGTGTGTGTGTGTGTGTGTGTGTGTGTGTGTGTGTGTGTGTGTGTGTGTGTGTGTGTGTGTGTGTGTGTGTGTTATTCTACTTTTAATTACAATGTTTTCTAGAAACGTATAAATGCAACTAGAGATTTTAAAACACATATGAACATCAATTCCCTTATGCCAACGTACGTATGTTCAACATTATGAAACATACATTCTACAAACAAGAAAATATGTTTCCCTCCTTTTAAAATCTCTTCTCTTTTTTGCTTTTAAACGTATTATTTCAATTCAGTTTATTTATTTAGCGCCAAATCGTAAAAAGAGTTGTCTCAAGGAACTTCACAAAATAAAACATTCCAATTGAGTTCAGTTCATTATAAAAAGTTTCTATGAGGAATCCGGAAGATTGCATTGTGTCATTGACTTGTGCCAGACTTTACAGTAATCTTCATTCAAATACGCAGATCAGGAAACTATTTTTAAAACCTTAATAAATTATTAGAGATAGTAATAAATAATTTATTAAGGTCATTGTCGTCGTCTTCCTCCGCTTATCCGAGTTCGGGCAGCATCCCAACTAGGGAGCTCCAGACCGTCCTCTCCCCGGCCACCTTCACCAGCTCCTCCGGCAGGACCCCAAGGCGTTCCCGGACCAGATTGGAGATGTAACCTCTCCAACGTGTCCTGGGTTGACCCGGGGACCCACCGGCAGGACATGCCCGAAACACCTCCCCAGGGAGGCGTCCAGGAGGCATCCTGACCAGATGCCCAAACCACCTCAACTGACTCAATCCGGAGGAGCAGCGGTTCTACTCCGAGTCCTTCCCGAATGTCCGAGCTCCTCACCCTATCTCTAAGGCTGAGCCCGGCCACCCTACGGAGGAAACTCATTTTGGCCGCTTGTATCCGCGATCTCGTTCTTTCGGTCATTACCCAAAGCTCATGACCATAGGTGAGGATTGGGACGTAGATCGACCGGTAAATCGAGAGCCTGGCTTTCTGGCTCAGCTCCCTCTTCACCACGACAGATCGGTTCAGCGTTCGCATCACTGCAGACGCCGAACCAATCCGCCTGTCAATCTCCCGATCCGTCCTACCCTCACTCGTGAACAAGACCCCGAGATACTTAAACTCCTCCACTTGAGGTAGGACCTCTCCCCCGGAGTTGGCAAGCCACCCTTTCCCGGTCGAGAACCATGGTCTCAGATGTGGAGGTGCTGATCCTCATCCCAGCTGCTTCACACTCGGCCGCAAACCTACCTATTAAGGTAATAAATCAATCTGAAGCAACATGGCCTTATGATGGAAAAAAAGTAACAGGCCCAATAACAGGTTGCAGCAGCCTGGGCAGCAACAACTGCAATTAGGTGTTTGTGATAACCGGGTAAATTTCATCCCACAGAATAATTTTAATTCAACCACAATGAGCGGATTTCCAGGATTAACGGCCTATTTAAGGCCAAAAGTCAGAATTTATCCTTCTAATGGGGGAGAAAATGAATGGTTCCTTCAGTTATAGCAAGGTTCAGATCCTGAAGCAGCGAAGCAGCCACAGACCATCACACTACCACCTCTGTGTTTCACTGCTGATATGTTCTTTGTCTGAAATGCTGAGTTAGTTTTTTAACAAATGATTCTCGTCTGATTCTGAAATGTTTATCCGAAACATTTAAATCTGACAACACATCAAGAACAGAGGAGTAATCTATGGGGGCACGTCATTTCTCATTGCACTGTAAATAGTTACTTTTTCATGAAAGCTATTCTTATTGCACGTTTTAATTTCACTTTTCCTCAAAAAATTGTTCATGGTCAATTGTCCTCTCAGACACAATATGCTCGACAAAGCAATCATGTAAATCATTAGTCCTTGTATAATTATGTCCATTTGCATAATGATAATGATTAATAATATGTATATGCATAATGCATGTGATGAATAGTGATGTAGCCTTCAACCAAAATGTGTCTATGATCCCAGAGAGGACAGATGCATACGTGGACCTGCAAGTGAAAAGAAAAGAAAAAACTCTCCCGTTGCCAACATTTGTTTTTGTGCTTGTTAATAACACACAGCGCTCAAATTAATGTGCAAAATGAACATTACCATGAATGATTGGTGCCATATTCACTAATTCATGTGCACATAAAAGGTTCTGACACACTCACAAACAAACACACACATATGTCAACAACTGCCAGTGTTGTTGGCACACTGCCAACCTACGGTCACCACTTTGAGTAATTTGAATATTTAGTGTCCCATTGAGTTCTTAATTGGAGTCAGTTTCACTAGCCTTGGCACTGTTTGGTGCTTTAATTAATGCCAGGGTAATTTGTTTCTGCCAGGCAATCGCAGGACAGTCATGAGTGGGTGGTGTGTGTTGGTAATGGTCAGAGTACCTCTTTATGGAACCTCCAACAAATGTTCTCAGCCTCATGACTTCAGATGGTTCAGATCAGCAAATACAAACTCACATGAATAGTATCACATGATCATTTCATTATTTCAAGAGAAATACGTTTGCCAATTCAACCTGGACCCATGCTAAAAGTTATCGCCCCTAAACGTGATAACTGCTTTAATTGACCTTGGCAGAAACAACTGTAGAGGAATTTAGACCCACATTTTTACCAGAAATGTAGTATTTCAGCAGCATTTAAGTAGCCTAGAAGTCCAGACAACTGCTCTGCAGGTCAGTCTAACCTCACTCCAGTGTAGCATCAACAGGCTCTCCATTGGCTCGGCTTAGTTTAAGCTGGGCCAATCACAGCGTTCTGTTTGTAGAGAGACAGTGGGCGGGCTTAGCACCCGAGTTGCGACAAAATAAAATAACTACAAAGGAGATGGCTCAGAAGTGGCGATCATTTAAAATGGCTTTGGCGCCAACTTTTGACGATTTAGACTTGGGTTTTTCTTAGAGACATGAGCTAATGGAGGTACTTCTTTTATTTTGATGGTTTCAGGCGGACATCCTTGTTTACTGATTTTCATCACTTTGAAAACATCACGTTGTTCATTGCTCTGATTGGTCCTAGCGTTGTCCAATTGCGTGCAAACACAGATGCCATCCCTACGCCCTATGGGTCGAGGCCAGACTATTTACGCATATATGATGTTTCGCCAGGCTACTGTTTGAGGGATTTCTGGACGAACTTGTAATTTAGGGTCAAAGGTCAGATGTTTTCCTGTAGGATATCTACTTAGAGAGAAGGATTCTTGGTTCCATCAAATACAACAATAGGTTTGTTAAATGCACAGGTTGATGCTAAAAACCCAATAAACCGTGTGCATGCAAAAGAAAGATGGACATGTCTAATCAGATGTGATGCTTTATATTTATCTGCATTTAACAACCATAGATGAACCATATACTCTTACTGTGAGAATACTGTTGCTTTGATACCATCCAGCTTAAGCATATTGTTGCCTTTTGGAAACATCTCACCTCCAGTTCCAGCCGCCGACGTTTGCTCAGGTACGGGTGAGATGCGGCACCACTCTGATCATCCTTCTCCTGTATTCTACAGAGAACAGCAAACCGTTAGTGACGTATTCACCACATTCACCCAGTACAGAAACAATTACCGTCAGCTGTCTTATTTACAAGACATGATTTGAATACACTGTTAGATTCCCAAATGCTGCTGTTTGGCATTAGTTTTGTAGACTGTAGGTAGGAGAATGAGAGAGTTAGGGGTGGAGGGAGATGAAAGAACACGAGAAGAGAATCAAGGACAGCCACTTGGATCAAAGCAGAAAGATGAGAGTTTCATAGACTCTGATGTTACTTTTGTGCCAGCTTGGACTTTATCTCAAGAATAGCTTTTTGGCAGTTTGCAAGACGTTCAGCTGGCTCAGTGGCACCCTGAAACACACAAATAGTGAAGTAAAATCAACTTAACAATATCTATATATATATATATATATATATATATATATATATATATATATATATATATTCTAATATAAAATACATTCAGTGACAATTAAGGTAATATAGTAAAAATAATAATAATTATTATAATAATCATCATCATCGAACTTATACAGCACTTGTTTAGGACACTCAAAGACGCGTGCATGCACTCTCACATCCACACACTGCTAGTGACAGTAAGCCACCTTGTAGCCACAGCCACCCTGGGGCGGTGTGACAGAGGCGAGGCTGCCATTTGGTGCCGTTGGCCCCTCTGACCACCACCAACACAGGCAAGTTGGGTGAAGTCTCTTGCCCAAGGACACAGCAGGAGAATACCCCTGAGCCCATGATCCTCCGATCATGGGGCAACCCGCTCTACCTCCTGAGCTACTGCTGCCCCCAGAAATAGACAAGAAGGACCAAAATAGATTGCTGTTAATATAAAGAAAAAACAACTTTATTGGTAATCTTCATGCAAACCTTTAACATATACACACATTTTACATTGTAGTTTGTTTTTAACAAACTTTATTGTTAGAAAAATTAACACGCAAGCCCGAGCATCCCCCAATTGGGGGCAAAAAAGTTAAGCATCACATTTCCTGCCCTATATATCAATAAATATCATCAAATAGCAAATTAAAAAGACTGCAGAGCCTGGGCCACAAGACCATATTTTACCATCTAATCCAAGACCATCTAATTTAAGAAAAATGTCATTTTTTTATTGAGTTCCATACTATATCTATCTATCTATCTATCTATCTATCTATCTATCTTTATATACATATATATATATATATATATATATATATATATATATATATATATATATATATATATACATATATATACATATATATATATATATATATATATATATATATATATATATATAGACAGAGAGAGAGAGAGAGAGAGAGAGAGAGAGAGAGAGAGAGAGAGAGAGAGAGAGAGAGAGAGAGAGAGAGCTACCTTCCGAAGCTCTTGTCTGAGTTTTAGCAGACTGAGATGCTCCTCCTCTGATTGAGGATGTATCTGCTGATGGAGACAACATCTCTGCTCCAGAATTAGATTCTGTGGGGAATCAATAACCAATAGTCAGTAATACATACCATGACATTCCACCTACACACACCGCCTATAGGACACTAAAAACAGCACGATGGCTGAAAAAGTGCTGAACAGATATGGCACAATAAAAAAAAAACAACAACTGCATATTATAAAAACAGAATACAAAATAGAGAGGCAAAACACAACAGTTTTCAAAATAAGAGACTCTACAGTCAAAAGCCAGATTAAAATAATGGGATTCTAGAACAGACCTCAAAGTTGACCAAAGATGGAGCCTCCCTCACACGGAGCGGGAGGTCATTCCAGAGTTTTTTGGCAAATTAGAAAGCTCACTGCCCTTTGGCTTTATAGTGCAGACATAAACATACAGACAACAGCATGCTTACTCCAACAAAGCTACAAAGACTTCCACTCATTATTTAATACATTTGCAATGCTCTATAGTATGAACGAATGCCTTGTTGTGAGTTGTTCTCTGTGGATAAAGAGCTCTGGCGCTCAATGTAGCTGGATGAGTGGGAGGAAGAAAACAGCAGAATTTGTCTTACTTTGGACACGTTGCCTCTTATTGGCTAAGAGCAACGCAACTCTTCCACTGCCTGCGCTCGCTCTGCAGCGCTGATGTTTTATCTCCATAAACACAAGCCTGAAGGATTTCTGTCATTATGTAGTGTTGCTATTGCTAACAGTTAGCTTCTACTAGTTGAGTAAAAAAAGTAAAAAAAAAATTCTTTCAGTCAACTTCTTCTTGAATGTCTCATTTATAATTTATCACATTTATTGCATCATAATCATTTTACTTATTAAGCACAAAGAAACTAACTGATGACAAATAACAAAAGATTTCTAATGAAAAATAAATGTCTTTTTTTTTTTTTTACAATTGACACTTTAGTTCATTATTTAATAAAATGGCCTCGTGTATCTCCGTCCAGAATCTCCATCGTCCAGCTCCTGGCCCTTTCACTGGCAAATTAAAGCAGCCAATTTAAAAGTGGGAAATCTTCATGGGAAAGAAATTTTTACAGTACTTGTCCTCTGGAATTCATTTTCATGTTACAGTGAAATATTACCTTGTCAGAATACAAATTGACCAGAGCAAAGACAGAATTAAGATACCATGGCTGTACTGGGTGTTCTCATTCATTTATTAAACAAGTAACACTAAAACTTATTATATACTGGCACTTGTACATTTACAATCATGTCCTAAAATATAAAAAGTATTTTTCTATGGTTTAAATTTTATTGTAAAACTGAACAAAAGCAGAAGTGATTTTAGGGTTAGCTGAGCCCAGCAGCGACACGAGGCAGTGAATCAGCAGGACGTGGAGCTCCATAAGAACTCCTAACCTCTTGATAGGCGCCTCACAATCAAAGTCATTAGCCAGTGTAATAAAGGGCCTGAGATACAGCCATTCTTCAACAGCCTAACTCTTTTATAACCAACAGATTAAAGTTGATTGGATTAAAATGACATTCTGCCCGTCTGACCTTGGCAGCAGCAGTTAAGTTCATCCAAATTAAATTTCTCCGTAATAAAGATGATTCATTGGTTGCATGACGTAGTAAATATAAAACAGGAAGAAAAGGGAGAAAATATTAAGCGACACACCCCAACGCCCACGTACACGCTTGTGCATGCACGCATGCACGTGTGCAAGGACACACGCAAACAGACGAGGATATTCATGCATGCGCTCACACAGCGCTGGTGGTTCTGGCAGGAAGCTGGCTGCCCACACACACACACACGGATTAAAAAGATAATAAACCACTGAGCTAAACTGAGTTATCAGATCTCAATGGTTAAGAACTCTAAAATTATTTTTAGGAAAACTGAAAAAAATGTCCTGGAGGATGAAAAAGACCATAAAATAATACAATCAGATTAACTGTGGCATCTATTCATGTTAAGCGTGCTTTGGGTAAAAATGTACTTTCATTTTTACCTTTGAGACACAACGGTACGCTATTGGCTGAACTGTTGCACGTGTACTTAAGAGTTCAATTCAAAACATAAATGTAGACAAACTTAGAGTAACACTTAATAAGCTTTTCCCTTTACTGGTTGAAAGCGGAATACCAACTTCCATAAGCATCCCTGCCGTAAGACTAGCAGATGTCGTCAGACAAGGTGAAATTTGCACCTTTTTAGGAATTTATAATTGTTTGCTAGTCAGAAACAAAGACTACTTTTTAGATGGTTTTAGTTCTTTGTCTAGTTCACGCGTTCTTTGCTTCCCCCTACTTCACAATGAAGGCTGCTGCGGCACGGAACAACAGTGGCACGCTTCTAATAGAATCCATTATAGACTATAATAATAATAATAATAATAATAATAATAATACATCAAACGTATACAGTACTTATTTAAGACACTCAAAGACGCTTTCACACACGCTCACATTCACACACTGCTAGTGTGCGATTGATACGATTTTTTCAACAATGAGGACGGAGATGGGGGCTCCCTCTTGCCCGCAAGGGACACACCCGGCGGGGTATATGCTCGATTCCTGGAAGGAGTGGAGGATCGTATGCCTCTCCCAGCTGTCCACTGAGGACGTCGAAGACGTGTGGATGTTTGGCCTGATGATCACTGGATTTCTCCTGATTGGAGTGGGAGGATATCTGGTCTTCTGGAAATTTGGGAAGACGGAGTGATTGGAGGGCGACCCACACCCACGGAAAGCACCGTCCGTGTTGAGACCTCACAGACTGGGACGTTATTGAGGTGAATCGTGAGCTGGACAACGTTCTAGCGGCGATACCGGTATTAGTGCGCAAAATGGATGTCATCTCGGAGAGGGTCACCGGACGTGTGGAGATGTTTAAAACCTAAATTGGCTTCACTGGAGGACTGGAATGGTCAGTTAAAGACTGAAGGCAGAGAGGGAAATTATCTCAGCCTGACCCAAACAAAGTCTTGTTATCCGAATCTGACGCCATAGCAGCCTTCGAGATGTGAAAAACAAACCCCCACGAAGGAATGCAGACAGATGCTGTGAAAACCCGACCTCCCCCCCGCCTTCGGATTGGTGGACTTCAGCCTGGCGAGGTCATCAACCTGCAGGAGTCACTGTGCTCTGCACTCCTCCCAAGATCTCCCTCCCACCTGTGGCTACAGTGGCTGAGCGCCTTGAGATGGCTGCTCTCGCTGGGGAAACAGGATCCCAGCCCCCCCTCCTTTCTCTTGGGCTCTCATGTTGTGAACTGTTGATGTTCGTGCTTACATGTTTGAGGTGTTTTTTTTTGTATTGCAAAGCTACGCCCTGTCGGGAGTAACTCTGGGATGCCGTTGTTTCCCTCCCCCAATTTATCCTCATGTAATTCCCTTTTCATCTAAATGAAATGCTGGCGGCGCGTGCATACGCAGTGGTTTCTCTCTCTCTTCCGTACTTTAGCGAGAGGTTGAGAGTAACGTAAATTCATTTCTCTGTATGTCCTGTACATGTGGCAGAATTGACAATAAAACTGACTTTGACTTTGATGGCAAGCTATTTTGTAGCCACAGCCGCCCTGAGGCAGTCTGACAGGGACGAGGCTGCCATTTGGCACCGTCGGCCCCTCTGACCACCACCAACACAGGCAAGTTGGGTGAAGCCCAAGGACACAACAGCAGAATACCCCTGGCAAGAGCTGGAATCAAACCCATGACCCTGCAATCATGAGGCAACCCACTCTCCCTCCTGAGCTACTCCTGCCCCACTATGGGGGTGACTCAATCTAGCCGCGCTGCACTACTAAACATGGAATTGGGTTCTATTTTTGCAGCGAACCGCTTCTAGGACACATCCGTTTCCACAGGGCTAGACAGGAAATCACACACAGTCTCAGTGTAAAATCTCTGGTAATTTTCTAAATAAGACCATTGCAGCATTGGGATTTCATATCTATGCAGATTACATCAATGCATGTGACCTAGCGGCTTATTTCCTCCCAGTGTCGTTCGAGTGTCGCAACGATGCGTTTTCATGGCTTTAACCCTGACAGTGGAGAGGAACAACATCATATATGACATCAAACAGCAATATCAAACGTCATTTCCTTGTGTTTAGTTTAATGCTGGATGGGATAAACAAACAGTGACCTTTGAAGTCTCGAGGGATGTTGTGATCTTGCGCGTTGAGTGAGGAACGGCAGAGAAGCCGCTCCACGGCCGAGACTCCTCCGGTGTGTACTGTCCTGCAGCGAGGCTCGTGAGTAAACCATTCCGGTGCCGTTCCGCACCGTCGATGCTTCCAGTGTGAAATAATTTCCTTGTGCTTTTTACTGTTGGTTGATGAATAGATAAAGCTAACAGCTAGCTTTTATATGATCAACCAGCACAGCAACGCTTTTAACCCTTTCAGGCTCAAAATAAGTTTTGATAAAAGGACGAACAACTAAGTCCTTCAGGGGTACTTCTGAGATGAAACATGCTCATGACATACGTATGTGGAGTAACCATGTAGGTAGGTTTTAACGTTGCTGATCTGCAACGCCTGTGTTGTGATTTGAAGTTGTATATTTATATACTGTAATTAGATAATTTAATTATCTGATTTTGTATATTTATACAATCCAAGTAATCAATCAGAAGTGGTTGTTTTTATCATCAGGGAGTTTACTTAAACACTCTGTATTGACTGAGAGACAAGAAAAGAAAGAGTTGGGATCGTTTAAGAATCTTTAATTTCTATAATTATAAATTCTAACAATCTACCAGGACTATCTCAATGATGAATGCATATGGATTTAGATGTTTTGTGTTGGTGTGTGTGTGTGTGTGTTTTGTTCAGAATCTCTAGGCTGACGTAGCGAATCTGGTTTGTTATGACTAGGCTACCACGAGGCTTCAGAAGCTGATGACATGAGCCGCCACATTGCCATATAGCTTGTCACAAATAAAGTACTTTGATTAATCAATGAAAAGCGTTCTTCTTCTGTTCTTCTGTCTCTTCTCCTGGAATGTAAACATACTGAACCAAGCGTCCGACCTTGGCGATGTTACTGTGTGAAGGGGCAGCTGTTATAGGCAGACCATTATAAACTTCCTAATGCTACACCTGCATCCAGAGGGTTAAGCAGGTAGAGACCTCCCACTAATGTCTACCAAAACCACCAATAGTGTTTATTATAGTTTCCAGCCAGTCAAGAGCAGCAGAGTGTGAAGCTTCAGTTTCTGGCTCAAGAAACACTGGAACCAGTTGGAAGCATTAGCTTAAAGTGTAAAACTATATATATATATATATATATATATATATATATATATATATATATATATATATATATATAGTTACTTTGCGTTTTCCTTACCTGCTGCTCGAGTCTTCTCGTGTGGTCCTGCAGGGTCTCGTGGAGTTTCCTACATTGGTCCACTTTTTGCTGACTATCCCTCAGTGCTGTCTGACTGGTCTGGAGCTCATCCATCAACTGGTCAAAAGCCTCCTGCGAGCTCTCCCATTGGCTGACCTTTTCCTCGTACTGTTGCTGAAGTTCGGAAAGCTCTTTGCTTAGTAGATAAACGGCTGACTGAAGTTCTCTTTGCTGTAAAACAGAATAATAACCTCAGATTTGTTTGGGACCAGAAAGGGTGTTCTGTTTGGAAATTTCAAGATCTGTTTAAATCTATTAAGCCTCTAACCATGCATCAAGGATTCTACACCTTTTTCTGTGAGCACTGTAGCTCCACTTCCAGGTGCTCCACATATCCTTGCAACATATGCACTTTCTCCATTGCTGTTGTGTATTTTTGTTTGAAAATGGCAGCCATTTCTTCTTGTACCAAAGGTTTCAAACGAGCACATTTAAGCTGATCTTTTGCTCTTTTCAGCTGCTGATGAAGAAGATCCATCTCCACTGTCTGCTTCTTCAGCTCCTCTTCAAATGCCTTAACCTAAAATGCATAAACATGCACTGACAAATGACACATTCTTTTAAATGTTTGTGACTCCATTCTTTAGAGAAGCAATTATTTTGTCCAGTCAACTCAAACAAAGAAAAAAAAAACATTTATCAGCCAATATTCTTGAATTAGCACCATAGTCATTCTATGGAAGCGTATTATCGTCAGTGTGGGGCAAAGTTATAGGAGCAGTACCCCATAATGGCTGGTATGTTTGAGTTATTAGTGCTGCTAAAAGGCATTTTAACCAGTCATAAAATAAAATAAAAATGTTTTCTATGTAAAAGCCCATGAAGGAAAGAAAAAGCTACATTTAAAGTCAATGTGAAAAACCAGCAAACTGGGAAATGATGATGGGCAAAGGGAAGGGCGTACATTTTATACAAATTTAAATGCATTTGTAAATGAGTTGCTGACAGAAACAACTAAAATTCCAAATGTCATTATTCAGATAAGCAAAACAATACAGAAAATTACAATATGGCAGAATGTACCTGAACACAACACAATAATTAGACACCGGTAACAGTTTTCCCGCCTCGCTGCTCTACAGTAACCTTTGTCATAATGACAGAGGAACCAAGGAAGTGAAACCAGCCTTAATCCCAGCGTTACAATCCGGATCCAACCATAGCTCACCTCTCACGGGGAGAGGTTGAGAAAGTTAAACCCACTCTAACACTCAGCTTGAGTTCATCCACGTTAATCCGGTTGTAATCTGGATCAGAACATGAGGGTTTACAACTAATGACAGCCAACTAGTTAGATTTCTGTGGTTCACTGCGGCTTGGTTCAACCAGGGATTAACAGGGCCCATCTAGCACTAACTCTGGATAACACAGTGTGGGGAGGAACTTACTCCTACGGAAAGAAAAAAGGACAAACCAGAGGAGGACAGGAGTCATCAGAGGTGATTCTCCAATTCAGAGCCAAGAACTAAACTCCCACTACAGGTGTGTGTGTGTCAAAACAACACACACACATGCATGCACGTGCACGCACACACACAAGGTCAAGTTTAATTTTCTGTTGCTTTTTCCAGCTCAAGCTATCCGTGTGACAGGAAGTCTTTTCCTGTAAGGAATCCAAGATTTGAAAGTTCAAGCGCTAATGGCTGTTTAAGCATCTCATATCAGCTACGGGATGAAAGAGCTCCTAACAAGGCTTAATGTGAAAACTATGGCTTTCTTGTGACCATAATTAGGAGCTTGTGCTTTGGTTACACAGACAACTTTCATAAAATACGAGGGAAAACACATCTGACTCTCTGAGGACCTGAACGACCTCATTTGGTCCATGTCCATTGCTGTCACATGACTACCCAAGATGACCCTCAGATGATTATAAATTAGTTTGTGTCATAACCGTCGTGTTTAAAGTCTCTGTCCCATTTTTTCCATGTTTGAATTTAATTAGATGTGAAAAGTTGACAAACAGAAGGCTCGTCTCGTCAAGTTTAGTCATTTGGATGGTGTGGATGAAGACGTATGTAACACAATAAAGTTTTAACATCTAATTTGTATTTATGTATATATTTTTATTTTAAGACATTTCCTGGATTGATACGATTGGCTGTGGGATCTTAGCTTAGCTGGTTAGGTCCCAAACAAATGAAAAGCTCATTTTCTTCTTCAGAACATGGACGTAATTTTGGGGGGGGGACAGGGGGGGACATGTCCCCCCCACTTTTTCCAAAGTCAAGTTTTGACCCCTGCACTTTTTACCGTCCAAAAACAATATTACGCTATATTAAATTGACACTGGTTGAGCTCTAGGACCAAGCGGAAAGCAACCGTTTGTGTTGAAGCCTGTTTCCCATTAGAACATATTGTAAAGATACCCCCCCCCCCCCGTGCCCCCCTCACTTCTAAAGTGAAAATTATGTCCTTGCTTCAGAATGTTCATAAACTTAAACTACTTCTCAGTTTTTGACTTTTAGATTTCAAGAAAGGCTTGCTGCCATGTGTTTAGCTCAGCTTAGTTGTTCTGTCTGATGGTCCAGACACGACACCTGCTCCCATCCAACGTATCACTTCCATTTGTGTGAGTTGAGACACCACCTACTGAGGTGAGCAAAGCTTCTTTCTTCTGTGTCTCCTTACCGGTTGCTGATTTTGTAGCTGCTGTTGCTCTTCATCCTTTTGCTCCTCAAGGTGTTTGATGCCTCTGACCTCTTCTTCGTGAGCTCTGACCTCGCAGTTTGAGTGTCTGACCCCATCCTCCAGCGCTGTCAGCTAAGCAAAGCGAAAAAGAGACAAAACCAAAAGAAATCCTGCATAAGGTACCAAGTAAAAAGAGCAGAAAAGCGGTGGAGTGACATTTGAGTGAAACCGTTTCCCAGTTTGGCTGCAGGGCCTGGAAAGAAAAATGGCAAACTTTCATTTGCTTTTTCGTGGGTCCAACTTTTGAGGTGCCTTTGAGCAAGGTGCTGTGCCTCCCTCTGCTCAAGTGATGCAGCTTAGCTAACAGTGGAAGGCCAGAGTGGGCTCGGGCCCTGCCCTTGAGTGGATGTTTGCAACCATGTGGGTGTAAAAAGCAGAGTATTGATAGGAAAACATGAAGGGTGCTCACTAAACCGAGCCCCGGCATCTAAGGAGACAAGAAAACAACAGAAAAATGGCAACAACAGTTCAAAAAACCATGTCAAAAGTTACTTAAACACACAAAAGTAAAAATTCATTAAAATCAACAACTTTGATTCCTTCTCCACTGTCAACTCTAAACGTAAAACTCACCTGTATGAGTTCGTTTTCTTGTATCTGTATTTTAGTTCTGTACTTTTTAGAGTTTTGAGACATTTTAGGGGGGCGGCGACGGACCGGCCCACTTCTTGCAACGGCGCATCGGGAAATGCCCGGTACACCACATGGCCAGTCCACCCATGGGTTTATGTCTCTGGTGGGGTCCCCCATGATAAACAGGTCCTAGGTGAGGGATCAAAGTGCAGCCCACAGACCCCTGTGAAAGAAATACAAATGGAAACTGCGTTCCCTCTCCCGGATGCGGGTCACCGGGCCCCCCCTGAGTCCCCCAGAGCCAGGCCTGGAGGTGGGGCACGTTGGCGAACGCCTGGTGGCCGGGCTTTTATCCATGGGGACCAGCCGGGCACAGTCCAAAGAGGAGACATGAGTCCTGTTTCCCATGGTTTCAGTGCTCGTGGGCAGTGTTGGGAGCAATGCGGTACAAATGTAAATAATTACTGTAATGCATTGCTTTTTGCTGTAATGTGGTAATGTAAGGAATTACAGGGAAAGAAAATGGTAATATTTACTCTGTAAAATTGTCAGTAACGCAGTAATTACAACGCATTTTTAAACCCAGAATCAAGATGTGGGTTTCTTAAAAATTACAATTGCGGGAAACCTGAAAAAAGATCCGGTATCCACATATATGACGTCATTTATGGACTCAGCTTTGCGGGCATTCTATGAGCAGAGAGGACGCAGCAGTAATGGCTCAAACACTCCAGCAGGGTCCTGCGCGGGGCCGCTGTTATATTCACAAAACGCTCCACCAAAACAACGTAATTAGATTACGATAATTTATATCAGCCCATATTCTCTGGTACTTCATGTACTTTTCAGCTGAGTTCATAATCTGTGCCCCGGTGATTTCAACTCATTGCTGGAGCGCAGCGCATATTAAGCTTTTTTTTTTTTTTTTTTTTTTTTGCGTTCGGTGGATCCCTTTGGCTGATTAGAAAGTAGGAAATCTAGGAAACAGTTTTTCTGGAAAACGGAGAAAACCTGCAGCATGCAGGATGGTTAGAGAGAGAAAGGGCCTATCACATGTATAAATATTAAATGCTTATATATTATTGCTTTTCACTGAACAACATCTCATTTCTTATTTCAATTGCAAAACTTTTAAAAAGCATTTTGTCAAGAAGAAAGAAACAACTGTGTCCTGCTAAAACTGATATCTTCTTGGTTTATTGGCAACAATCAGTGTATCCCAGTAAGCGGGGGAACTCCGCCCACTGAACTTAAAATGGAATATTCCAGTCTTGTTTTCATACTTATGCCTAAGATAATGGAGGTAGTGGGCGGATGACGGTACAGAAAACAGTTGGTTTTTCTACTCTGAGTATACAGAACGTCTGTTTGCCTGTTTCCTTGGTGACCCTTCCTTAATTACCCACTCCAGTTGTATGCCAAGTGTGTGTGTGTGTGTGTGTTGTGTGTGTGTGTGTGTGTGTGTGTGTGTGTGTGTGTGTGTGTGTGTGTGTGTGTGTGTGTGTGTGTGTGTGTGTGTGTGTGTGTGTGTGTGTGTGTGTGTGTGTGTGTGTGTGTGTGCGCGCGCGCGTGTCTGCACATGCTTTTATGTGGGTGTGATTCCTCACAAGTCTGCTCGGGGGAAATGTTTTGGACTTTTTTCCCCATCTGTCTGTGTTTCACTGAGTCTGTATCTTATCAGGCTCTCTCTGTTTGAGGTCGCTGAAAATGCCTGGGTTTGGGTTCTGAGCCATTTTGGGATATTTTCATCTGGGATCATGTTTCACTAATATTTCAAAAGCATCCCGACTTCTCTTTGACCTTTCAGTAGTTGGAATGCGAGTCAGATTTCCTCCTAAGAGAGAAACCGAGTGTTGGGAATTGGGGATTGAAGACATCGGACCGCTGTCCAGTAGAAAACCAGTCAAAAGTTGTTTTTATATCACAAATGACTAATAAATGGATCACATGGCTGCTGCTCAATGCATTTAAGCCCATCCATCCTTTTACATCCGCTTATCCGGAGTCGGGTTGCAGGGGAAGCAGCCTGAGTCGAGAGGCCCAGACATTCCTCTCCCCAGCCACTTGGGCCAGCTCCTCCGGGGGAATCCCAAGGCGTTCCCTGGCCAGATGAGACACATAGTCCTTCCAACGTTTCCTGGGTCTACCTTTAGGTCTCCTCCCAGTTGGATGTGCCCGGAAAACCTCACCAGGGAGGAGTCCAGGAGGCATCCTGACCAGATGCCCGAGCCACCTCAACTGGCTCCTCTCGATGTTGAAGAGCAGCGGGTCTACTCCGAGCCCCTCCCAGGTGACCGAGCTTCTTATTCTATCTCTAACCCCAAAATTCCACTATCTCCGCTCCGCTCCGGCACGAACTCCGCAGCAAAAATGGTCCCGTTGTAGTCAATCAGAGTTGTACCCTACTGCGGCCGTGCGGCGTCCGGCAAAAATAGAATCGATGCTATTTTTGCCGGACGCCGGAGCACCTCCGCAGTCAATGGACAGAAATCGCAACTTCCCAACAGGAAAGGGAGCAAGCACAACTTCTGTTATTTCACAATAATTCGATAAACAAAAGGCGTTTTTTGTTTCATATGCACAGGTTTAACAACTTTTAATAACTATCAATGGCGGCTGAACTTTAAATACACAAAAATAAGCCATAAATACAGTTTCTACTATCAAAGTAGTCACCCTTTGTTGGTCCAAACACGTGCTGATCACTCAACACAAATGATAGGCAGATTAAACAGTTCATTTCGATGCTTCTCCCACACAACGGGTGTTTGGATCTAACTTCTGCGTTTATTGCTCGGACTGAATCGCAAGATCTCAAAAATCCCGCGCATGCTTGTTTGTGCACCTCAGGTCTCCGCACCGGAGCGGAGCCGTTGTAGAGCGGGTACAGTATAATTTGAGTTCGGAAGCGAGCGGCAGCGGAGGGCGGGGGCGGAGCGGAGACAGTGGAATTTTGGGTTAAGGGAGAGCCCAGCCACTCTGCAGAGAAAACTCATTTTGGCTGCTTGTTTCTGGAATCTCGAGATTGCGTAGATGCATTTAAGCATTTAGAAAAAAAGAATGTCTGAAGACAGAAGAAAGAGCATTTCAAATCATTTAAACATGGCAGTTTTGGGTGCCCAACAAGCTAATCGGACTATTCCCAAAAAATTATTGCTGATCATGTCCATCCCTTTATGACAATGGTGGACCCATCTTCTGATGGCCACCTCCAGCAGGACGATACACCATGTAACAATGCTCAGGTCATCTTCAACTGCTTTCTTTATCGTGGACTCAACAGTCACCAGATCTCAATCCAGTCCACAAACGTTGGTGTGTGGGGTGATGAGAGATTCACATCATGGATGCAAGTGCAGGGGTGCAAATTAAAAAGAGAGGTCATATCTCTCCTGTCTTAGCTTCCCTACATTGGCTGCCTGTTAAATTCAGAATAGATTTTAAGATCCTCCTTCTCACATTTAAAGCTCTTAATAATCAAGCTCCATCATATATCAGTGATCTGATTGTTCCATACGTTCCCAACCGAGCACTTCGCTCTCAGACTGCAGGTTTACTGGTGGTTCCCAAAATATCTAAAATTAGGATGTGAGGCAGATCTTTTAGTTATCAGGCTCCTTCCCTGTGGAACCAGCTCCCAGCTTTAGTCTGTGAGGCAGACACTTTGTCTACATTTAAGACTAGGCTTAAAACATTTTTAATTGATAGGGCCTATGGTTAAAATCTGATGTTAGCCTAAATCTGGACAAGTGGGGGAGTAGAGGGAGGTGGAGTGTACAGTCAGTAAAGACAACTCTCCCTTGCCCTGCCTCCATCTAAAAGGCTAGGTTATCCAGAGTTATCTCTAGTTAAGCTGCTATAGGCTTAGACTGCTGGAGGATACACTGACCACTTTCCACACTCTACTACTTTCTTCTACAATCTGCTCTTTAACTGTATTATTTTCTGCAATTTCAGCAGTTAACTTTATTTTTTCTCTGTAAGTGTTTTTCTCCCCAGAAGAAGCTACAATGATGTTCTGCTGAGCTGTGGTGGCCTCATGGAGGGGGCCATCGACTAGCACACTGCTGCTAACCACTAAAACATTCTCCCTCTCCTGATAATAACTTTTTGCTTTCCTAGACTTTTCATGTGCTAATACTAGTTTATTCGTTTAATTATAGATCCACTAGGATAAATACAATAAAGTTTATCGTCTCTCTCGTCTTCCTCCGCTTATCCGGGTCCGGGTCGCGGGGGCAGCATCCCAACTAGGGAGCTCCAGGCCGTCCTCTCCCCGGCCTTGTCCACCAGCTCCTCCGGCAGGACCCCAAGGCGTTCCCGGACCAGATTGGAGATGTAACCTCTCCAACGTGTCCTGGGTCGACCCGGGGGCCTTCTGCCGGCAGGACATGCCCGAAACACCTCCCCGGGGAGGCGTCCAGGAGGCATCCTGACCAGATGCCCAAACCACCTCAACTGGCTCCTTTCAATCCGGAGGAGCAGCGGTTCTACTCCGA